GGGGGGCTGTGCGGATGGATTGTTGCGCGAGGCGAGAGGAATCAATAGTAACAGGGCCCGATAGGATTAACGGGAAAAAAATAATGGTACAAATCAACACTCATCATCGAAAAAGGGTGACTTTTCTACCTATTGATTGATGTCTGCCTCGAACGGGTGTTTTCTCTCTGTCTGTGAGCGCACGGTCGGTCGCTGATGATCTGTCCGCAATCTGCTTCGGGCTTCCCCCTCCGAAAATCCGGTCCTGCGGTTGTAACCGCAAAACTTCGAGCCGGCGGGGGGGCATAGTGCGTACAACAAATGTTCCGAAAAAATATATATATAAACACAACCCCAAGAGTTAGCCCCGGGTGGGTATGGATGCTATTTTTTCGGGTTGAGGAAGTTGATTCCATCGAAGCACATTACATCGCTCGTGGTGAAGCGTTCAGATCGTCAAATCATCATCGTTTAGTTGCCGTTCGTTGTTGTCCTAGGACAGACACGCTAGGTAGGGTAATTTACAATCAAAATTAACAGCGAAAATCTACTCAATGAATGAATGCGGTGGCACAGGGAACCTGTAGTACGCAGAAAACGCTCGTGTGTACGTACGTATGCTATTTTTTTCTTCAGTTTGCATCGGCCGTGCTACCCGGCTGCTGACCAATCAAATACGGTCAGCCTCTGTGTGCTACCACGTTAGTTTTACCCTCTCCTTTTCCCCGCCCCCCGGGGTTACTTGTTTCAAGCTCAACCCCCCCCCCCCCCTATGCCGATGCTGGCCGAGGGGAGTAAAACATACCCCCCGAGGGGGGGGGGGCAAGGCAAAAACAGTTGAACGTACAGAGGTGGGCAAGGTTTAGCGAGACCTGCCTACAAGTGTCAGGAGGGAAAGTGGTGGCTTAAGTCGCTATCGCCCATATATAATAGCGGCTAGTGGGTCGGGGTGCAGTGGCACCACGCGATGCTATGGTCGCAACACAGGGCATGTCGCTAACAGGGGTTACGGTCGGAGTCGGCAACTACCACCGCCCCTTTTTCGAGAGAACGGCGATCGGTCTTTCGCGCATGAAACGCCGAACAAAGAGAGAAAGAAAACAACTATACATCTCTGGAGTAATGCCGCTGGCCGGTGTTGTTAGTTTTCGGAACTCTACCCTCGAGAGCGAAAGGCGTGTGCATCTACCAGTACCTTGGTGCTGCATTTTTGTTTTCTCGTGGGAAGTGCGTGAACGGACCAACCTCACAATATCATCATCACGTAGGCCAAAATCAAAGAACACGACTCAGCATCCCTTCGCGAAGAAGCTACAGTGAGTGGTAGAATCCCCCATTATTTTTCTAACGAAAGACACCTCGGAAAATTATCATCACGTTTGCATTTTTCATCCTGAACGTGGCCTTGGGCTCGTCTGCGCAAAAGCCCACGTGCCACCGTAGCGACACGAACGAACACAGAAAAAGATCCAGGAGGCCAAAAAATCCGGTAGCCTGAGCACACATTATTCTCAATTTGCAGAGGTCAGTCAGGACCTTAGACCCCGCCCCCTCGATGCACCCTGCCTTGCTCTCGCACCCCTCCACCCCTATTCTCCCGCTTGGTCACGATGGCTTAACTGCCATGATCACCACAACCCCCGCCCGCCGGCGCACCTTCTGCCTAACTACTGTAATACTTACATTTCGCTGCAGAGCATGGGGGGCCTTCGGCATCTTTTTCAAATCCACTAAACACAAAACATGCACAAGTGCCCCGTGTTCTGTTTACTCTGTTGTTGTCTTGTTTCAGCCAAGATTGATTCCCGACGGGGCCCCCACACCGACGCCAAAAAAAAAAAAAACATGCCCCGTTCGAGACCTGTTCACGACAGACAGCATGGTCAACAACGTGGTGCCATGGAAAGGCAACGTGGTGCCATGGAAACGCAAGATGTGAAGCGTTCTTCGTCGCCTTCTTTCCACTCTCGGCACACTCAAACCCTGCCTGGAGCATAGAGTACACACGACAGGGGAGGGGGGGCTCCCTCTCGACTAGCGACACAAACAGTTCTCAGGCACGGAAGACATTACGCCGTGTTGATGGAATGGACATTGGTCAATTACCAAACAAGGTCAAAATCCCAACAGTTATTTTTCTCCCCCTCGCACTCTCTATCTGCCTGTTTCCTCTCTCTCCATCCCTCACCCACTCCGCCCCCCTCGCTCTTTGCCCGCGCAAAAAGTAAAAGAGGCGTAGCATTGTCAGCATCAAAATATATATCAGAACGAAAGAGAGAAGGAACAGAAGAATCACGCAAACAAGGTAATCGAGAAACAAGGGCAAACAAAATTTAGTTAAGCCAAATGCCAACCCAACTCAATCAGCGGAGACGACAGTCAACAACCATTCTGGGATGTACATATATTACACATCATCCATCAAAAAGAGTTTCCTCGTATCGTTCAGCTGGAACCGGAACCGTCCTCCGAATCGGACAGGTCGGACAGATCGGACAGGGTCTCGCCCTCCAGCGAGGATCCCGAGCTTACGCTGGAGCAGTCTGAGCTCGAGTAACCGTCATCGGGGGCCGCGCCGTGCCGAGCCCCGCTGTGCCCCTCAGGCGGCATCATCCCGCGAGGCTTGGGTTTGGAGTGCACCTGAAACGTGGCCGCCACCATCGTTCGTTACACGAAATTTCCATGGTGGGGGAAGGAACGGGGTTAAGGTACAGCAGTCTGTGTGGCCCCTTCGGAATTCGGAATTCGGCTCGAGCAACGCTTGAGAAAAAAAAAACGGCTCTCCATGCTCTCTCTATCGCTGACACGACAAACCGGCATATGACGTTTTGCCTGGAATCCAAAAGAGCAAATATAAAAAGTAGCGTACGCACCGCACCTACCTCAGTCCTTTCGTGAGCTTCGGTATTTTTCACGTTGCGGAATAGCTGCGTTTTGAGGCATTTATCGTCACCATGGGATGGAACGGATAAAATTCCGCCACGGGATGGAGCGGAACGATTAAACGAACGAATGATGGTACAGAACACGGGCGTATACCATGAACAAACGAGCTCAAGGGCTCTTGCCGCGCGCCGGGCCGCGCCGCGCCGACCACCCACCACCCACCTCGCCCTTCATCATCTTCTTGAGCTTGGACAGCTTCTTGAGCCTGCGCTTGGCCTTCTTGTACGCGTCGGGCTGCAGCTTGTGCTTCAAAGTCTTGCAGCAAAGTACAAGCGTTTGGATGAGGGGGAGCGGGGGGCGGTAGGTGATGCTTCACATGGCAACAGGAGATTGGGAGTGACAGGAGGTGTGGCATGGACGGGTAAACGACGAACCACTACTTCAGAACATGTCTCTGGGGAAATATCACTCAATCCACTTTGGACTTTCTTAAGGCAAGCGTGCTGATGTTGACAGGTGAAATGATTTGTACTGATGTACTGTAAAACCAATTGACTACTGGGGTCGCTGGTGATACTTGTGAAGCAATAAAACGGTAGTGGAAGGTGGTTGGAATTCCTCGCAAGGAGAGTGGGAGGCAGGGAGGGGTAGGAAGGGCTGGCATTCTGACGAGGAGTACTTACTGGCACGAGGGATGACCAACGGAAGGTTTGCTTCATGAAGGAATGCCACAGCAACAAGACAACAACGACGGTACCTGTCCTGGGTTGGAAGCCTGATGGGCGGTGCGCTTAGCCTTCTTGTAGATGTCAGGCTGCATCTTGCGCTTCATGGCCTGCCCCGGGTTCTGCAGGTCTCGCTTCAGCTTCTGCACCTTCCTCATCTTCGCCTTGAGTTTCTTGTACTCGCTGTTGTTAATTATTCATGACGGCACACGACGAGAAGAGGACCATTCTTTTACCGTACATGTAACACTAAACGAGGCGGGGTGGAGCACAAGGTTTTGTTGCACACCGTAGGAAGGCATCGGATTCCCCAGAAGGTGCGGATTTGCTAACCGCTTCCTAGGTACAAAATAGCTGCTACTGCAAGTGTCTTCTCCGAACGAAGAGCTCGGACAGCGGTCGCCTCGGCCAACAAAAAACAAGAAGTGCGCATAGTGAACTGTGCTCCAGGGAGCAAGTGCCCACCCTCAGAGCGCTGCCCACAACGGCTCTCAACACACCCACTCTGCGGCCTGCATACACCACGCCAACCACTCTCATGTTGTCTGGTGCGGTTCGCGTTGTTGCTGCTGCTATGGCAGGGAGTGCTACAGCAGAAATGTACCCGCCCCCATGTTGAACCGACAAGTTTGCCCGCTGTCGAGCAGCAGCAGCAGCATGCACACACACACCAGGCGGCACAGCATGGGTTCCCTCAGACAATCCAACGAAACAACTCCCGTGGCGCACGTCGCCGCAGCTGTCGTACACCGAAAAATCTACCCTCGCGCTGGCTCAGATGCAGCATTCGTTGTCTAGAGGTCGATGGACTTCTCGTTTCCCTCCCTGCCCCCCCCGAGCGAATTCTCTGTTGGGTGCGACGGAATGTTATAATGTTCACACGCTGTCCTCCCACACCTGTATGACGACGACATCTTCTAGCTGCGCGTCTGTGTCCGCCTCTGAACTCCCGAGGTCCTGCTCCTGTGGCGTAGGGGGCGAGCAAGAGTTTGTGTGTGTTGGGGAGGGGGAAGAGGGAGCGGGGTTGTTGTGGTCATGATGGGAGTCATGACGCCGCAAGCGGCGCAACAATTCAAATTCCAACATGGCGGGACTGTACGCCGTAACCAACGGTAGCACCCGCAGCGTCAACCACTGCTGTTGTTACGTTGTTACTCCAACTGCTGTATGTATATATCAATGTTGATAGCTCGCGCTGTCGTCCTTGGCCACTTGCCACCGAACAACAGCGTGAACACACAACGCGTTTCCGGAACATTTCTTTTGTTCGTCAAATACTCTCGAGAACGCTTCAGATTGAAAATCACGGAGATCCTCGGGTCTGGTATGGTAGAGGGTTCTCTTCTTCCGAGAGAAGTTGAAGCTGGGAAGAAAGAAGAAAGAATGGCCCTGACAGGGGCGTTATGTACTGCTGTGTAGAAAGGAGCGGAGGAGCAGCTCCGGGAATCGTAGAAACACAGTACTTCGTTCACCATATGACGCTTGAATTCACTGCCCAATCTATCCCGGGGATCTCTATCATCTCCGTGTGGATGGGGTTCGTTGTCCGCTTGATATTTGTAAGAAAGAAGGAACCGACGGCATCATCATGTCGGAACACACAACAACTCGTCACCATTCATTGAGAGTGCTGAACTCTTCTCGCATTAAAAACCGAAGGCAAAGTACCGCAGGAGGGAAGGGTAGAGAGGGGCTGTTCTGTGTGACCACGGGTTTGGAGTAAACGGCACTAGTGCTGTGAGCGCTGATTTGAAGTGAAGACCAAAAAAAAAAAAAAAAAAGTGCTGCCGGAGGGGTAGCCCCGGCCTCAACTCAAGCCGTATTCATTTCGCCACAGCGGCTTGGCAAGCAAGCGCAGCAGTCGAACATTAATTGTTCCGATGGGCCACATCCTGTTGACAACCTCCTCGTCATCGCATGCTGACAACAAGTCTCAAATCGTCGAGTTGACGGAAACAGGCACCTTAAGCATACGAGAAAACGTACACATTGCTCCACCGAAAACAGCCAGGGGCACAGCACAATCAATCCCACTTCATACCGCTCAACGGAGAAGGCCACAAACAGGATGGATGATGACACCAAACTTTTCCACCAAAATCTTGCTGTAGTCATTCATGCATGCATGCACGGATGTTTTTATTCGTATTTTGTACGCGCAGTAGTCCAGACTTGACTTTCTGCAGAGCAAAACGCGTACTACATGATGCCCTAAACTAGCGCGCGCCCCTCTGCAAACCAGTAGGTCCTGCTGCTCCTCTTTCCCATCAACCAGTCCTCGGAATATCGAGCACATGCAGAGGGAATTGTGCAAACAATTATTTTGTGGCTGATGATCGCCGAAAGCTTTAGCTTTACCAATCAACCCTCATCGGCTACGGAGAAGCCATCGGGCGACAGCGGCTGTGACACACGCATGGGGAGTGCGTGACCGACCATCCCCCTCTCTCCTTCCCTCCGCCACTTCAAAATCTGCCTTCCCTCCGCCTCTCTCTCTCGTCCACTACCCCCCCCCCAAAAAAAATCCTGCTGGGATATAACATTGGAAAGAAGACGAAAATCACAAAAAAAATACCACCACAACACGGTTTGATTATATACTGACACCCCCTGTAAATTCAAACGGCTTACTACCATCTCCACCTCCCCTGCCCCACCCCTAACGGCCGCAGCAGCAGCAGCAGCAGAACAGCGGGCCACAATTTTTTTTTTTTACCAACCTCCCGAACGTACTGTAGGCATGTCGGCATACCTTGACAGAAGATGGTTGGTGACAAAGCCGACATCAAGCAATTTAACTTGTCGGGAGCGATGAAACCATCACACAAGACAAACTTGAATTTGCAGCACCCCTCGCCCCCCCCCCCCGCCAAAATGTCCCTGGAAATCAATATGCGTTTGCTCCCGACAACTTCCTGCAGTACTTGAAAAATGAGAAGTGAGGGGTGCAGGTGGGTGCATGACGAGTGGAATGAAAAGCAAAACCTGCCCGCATGCTTACTGAGTGGTGGCAGTTGGCAGCTCTCACAGACGAAGAGAGAGAGAGAGAGAGAGAGAGAAAGAACAAACACACCACGCTACATACGCACACATGGTCGCACGCAACCCATTGGCAAAAATTAATTGTCCCACCCTCCGGTGTTTCCCGTCCAGGGAGAGCCAGCCTCTTCTCTGTGCTCGCTGATAGTACCGTACCTTACGGCTAATTCCATTTCCGTCCCCCCAACTCAAATTCCCACAAGGCATCCCTACATCTGGTCGGCACTCCTCCCCCCCCCCCTGACACGGTTCTCGCCTCCTACCCCCTAGCCCTCTCCCACGGTGCCCTCCCACCCCCACGCCCCCTACCCGTCCACCCGCCTTCGGCACAGCTGTTCGCGTGAGCTTCCTCACTCGAACAGCTAGCTACCCATTTTACCCGCTGCTGCATAACAAAAAACCGTTCAAAACTTCGCGAAAAGATCGTCTTCGGAGAGAGACACAGGAGAAACGAAAACAAGGCGCCGTCGTGGATAGATACCCTTACCCGCGATGTCATAGGATTTGGGACGGATGCAGAAACATCACGCCGTGGTCATCGACGCGGGGGGCGTTTCACCCACCAACCCTCTCTCTTGTCTTCTCTCAACGCGGAGTAACTTTAGGGGCTCCCCGTGTAACGGTCGTAACGGTCGATCACGGCCAGCCGGTCTTGGCCTACGCCTATCCAGCGGATGTACACTCCCAGCAGCTCCTACGTAAAACAAAGGAACAAAAACACACGAGAAAAATAATATATATATATTTTGTTTGTCGATTTTTTGTTGGGCACGAGGGAGAGGGACAGCGAGCGGGCGAGGGAGGGCATCAAACAGAGAGGGAACGACGACGCGGCCCCCGAACTCTCATCAACATCAACCCTACGCGGGCCTCCGAAAAAAGCCGCCCTCGCCCCCTGTCCAAACGTACCCGGAATCGTGCCTGGCTCTCGCCAAAACTCGTGCACAGGCACGTGTAAACCCCAACCATCAAAACCACCCTCCAGAATTTTCTCGACAACGCCCTCCCCCCCCCCCCCGAAATACCCTCACCGACTGCAGAAGTAAAGTGGCGATTTGATGCAATCACTAAAGATAGACAAGAACTTACCGTACCTAACCACCGGCCGTACCTTCTGTGTGACCCCCACCTTCCCGCCTGTGCGACTCCCGCTACTGCGCCCAAACTTTCCGAAAGGAGTCCAGCTGGTCTCTAGGGTAGACAGGATGACATGACAACAAAATGATGTCTTCCCTTCCCTTCCCTTCTCGGCTCACCTCTACTCGCCGCACGTAAACCTGCGCGTTCGTCGGCAGATCATCCCACTCCTTGCAGTCAGAGATGTCCTCTTCCCACCCCGCCAGAACCTCGTACTCCACCTGCACGTTCTTCAGCACCTTTTTTTTTCCCCGACAAATGCGAAAAAAGAATGAAGAAAAAACCACACACACAGGGAAAAGACCAAATTGTTGTTGTTGTCATTGTTGCGTCTTCAAAAAGAAAACAGATATTTTTCACTGGGTTATGAGCCAATTTACCTCTTCTTTCCCTTCTCAAGCAACACGATTCATACCCAAAACAAGGCACAAAACACTGGAGAAGAAGAAAGACAAGACTCAGGAGTAGGCAGTCACAAGACTCGCGAAAAAAAAAAAAACACATCGCGCGTGGGCGACACCGAACACGAATCTTTGCTGACCTTGCTCGTCTTGGGAGTAAAAAGGGTACATGCAGTCGTCGTTCGAAAGCGTACATGGAAACATCCCATCTCATCAAACGGGTGCCCAAACCTCATGCAAAAAAGGTACACAAAAAATCTCGCTCAAACGTGTACACGTAAGCCTCGTTCAAGACACAGGGTACTCGGAACCCTCAATATTAAATCGGAGGATACACACAACACACAAACTGTTAAGAAAGGGTACATGTGCGCAAACGTCGTCCACTTAGTGAGAGTGGTTGCGAGGGAAAGCGAACACATGCGTGAGCGCCCACCCGTTTGCAACGCGCCAATACTCCCACTGCTGGACGACATTAGACAGCGAGCGACAAAATGCGTTGACACTTGTGGTGCTGCAGGCCACCCAAGCAGCGGGATAGTGTGAGTGCAGCGGTACAGTCTGTGTGGTGTGTGTGTGTATGCAAATAGAAAGTGTTATTTATTCGACCCGTGATTCTGGTCGCCAGTTCACACCATTCAGTACAACACTGTTTGATGTATCAGCCGGGGTCGCACACACCGCAGGAGGAAGGCAACATCCAGCACCGTGGAACCATTCATTGTTGGCTAGGGCACGCTCTTGCAATAGTCCGTCACACGTCTCCGACACACACGCGGCTTACATTGAGGCTGGAAGGCATGGATTCCAGGCACTTCCCCTCGAACTTGTACGCCACGCCGATCTGCACCTCCTCCATCCCTGTAAAACAACAAGACACCCACAGCATTGGGCCGGTTAGCGCGGTCGATGCTAAGAAAGATAACCTACACACACGCAGATCATGACCTTGGCAAGTATTTTCTGTTCTCAGCCGCGCTGAGACTGACATCTCTCCATTGGTGAGCTGTTTCGATGCAAAAAAATATAAAAACACACAAAAAACAATGCTTCCGGGGGGATACATTGGTCTTTACCCCTGCACACCCTTACCCTCTCAACCCTGAAATACAACTGAGGAAGCGTCATCAGATGGAGAGGAGGCGGATCGGTGTGTGCGTGAGAGAGAGAGAACGTCCGGCGAACAGGGGCAACGGGTGTGGGAAAGGGAACGGACACGCCGACCTCATTTCTAAGTCTCTTGCCCCTCCGTCCCTCCTCTCGGAGCAATATCATGTCATCTTCGGGACGGAGGGGGGTCCAGAGAGCGACCGTGGATACGGCAAAAGGCGAGAGAGAGAGAGAACCAGACGCCGGGTGGGTAACGCAGAGCACTGTGCCGCTAATATGTGAGACGGGGAGAAAAAATTCATACCGCGCTCAACACACTCAACCCCAAATCGCTGGTTATCCTGCACCAATGTTGGCAAGTACTACAACCCCCGGACCCCCGCTGTCTACTACTCCGACATCAGCCATGCCCAACCCCCCCCCCCTCCAACAGCGACGATCGACACTCCCATTCACCGGTAAGCACGTCGAGCTTGGTGAGGTTGAGCACGGAGTAGCCGTTCACCAGGGTGGAGTAGCGCATCTGGGGGATGTCCAGCCACCCGCAGCGGCGCGGCCTCCCCGTGGTCGTGCCGAACTCCCCCCCGTTTTTCCTAGTGTACCGGGGTTGTACGTACGGGTGTGATATAAAAGGCGGACGATTTACACAGACGCATGTTAAAAACACGCACTACGGTGGCAACAGCACCAGCACCGCAAAAACAACAGCGTTTCGAAGCATACAGCAACTACACCAACTAGCACCACCAACAACCCCGTCGTCTGATACGCGAGAGAACCCTACTCGGGGAACAGACAAAAGAAAAAAAAGAAAAAAAAAGGCATATGGTAAATGGGAGCAATGGGCGGTCCACTCCTTCACCGTGCTTGAATAACGGGTCGTGTTCTTAATTACTACACTACTGGGGTGTTCATACTTATATATTTACCTGAGAGTGTCCCCGGTCTCGCCCAAGGTTTCCGTGGGGAAGGGTCCCTCTCCGACACGGGTGCAGTACGACTTTACCGTCCCGAAGATGTTGGAGATCTGGTCACATTACATCGCCATCACATGACGGCATACGTACAAGGTTGGAAATCTGATCACATGACATGACGTCATACATACACGTTGGAGATTTGATCGCACGACATGACGTTGTACTACATCACATGTGATTATCCGGGATCAACAGCCGGACGGAACGGAATAAAATGACGACCCACCCACCGACAGACAACCGCCGTTCTTCCAAAACAAAAAATGCCATGATGAAAGAATCGATCCCAAACATAACAACGAATTAATTGTCAAAGAACGGAATTGCCCAACACATGGGGTAGCCTACCCTGCCAAAGTCGTCCCGCACACAAAAAATATGGCATGACTCCAAACCGCTCCCAACGTGCAGGATGACAGCATGGCAGGAGGCCGAACGACACCTGCTTGATTGAATGAATGGCAAACATTTTACACACTTCTACACCATGCCCTTCTCCCCTCATTCTAGAGCAGCGCAGCTGTGCAACGCCCGGCTTTGCACCGTCCCCTACACACGAAGTAGCTCCTCCGCGCACTCAAGTGTCGAACGCCTGGGCTTTTGATCTCCCATCGTCTCACCGCAGGCTACACAACTCGTGACAACATGATCTCTGGAAGCACCGGCCGGGTGAATGATTCTCTCAACTCTCTTCCGCAGAGAACCTATCCAACCCCGGTACAATATATGCAGCAAGACAAAGCCAACGGGAACGCATGGCCATCAGTACCCCCTCCACCTCCCCTCCCGCTTGGCCCTCTCTAGGACGCGTGATCAACGGTCTAACCGCTAAGGTACGCAAAACATAAGAGTACGCCCCCCCGCCCCCCTCCCCACCTTGTTCGGCGGGACCCCCAGCCCCGTGCACACGCTGCCTACGCTGGGGTTGGACGAAGTCACGTAGGGGTAGGTCCCGAAGTCGATGTCGAGCATGGTGGCGTTGGCGCCCTCCACGAGGATGCGCTTGCCCGAGTCGAAGGCCGTGTTGGTGAGGGCGATCGTATCCGCCGTCATGTTCACGATCTTTCGCGTTGGCGTTCGGGGTTTTGGCGTTTGGCGTTTGGGGTTTGGGGTTGGTGGTTGTGGATCGCACAAAGAAGAGAGGCGACGGGAGACAGGGGGAGAGAGAAGAGAGAAAGACAGAGAGAGAGAGAGAGAGAAAGACAGAGAGAGAGAGACAGAGGGAGAGAGACAGACAGACACAGAGAGAGAGAGACAGACGCAGAGAGATAAAGAGAGAGAGATAGAGAGGCAGATAAAGAGAGAGAAAGAGAGAGAAAGAGAGAAAGACAGGGGAAGAGAGAGAGAGAGAGAGAGAGAGAGAGAGAGAGAGAGAGAGAGAGAGACAGAGGGTTAAGATCGCATTCAGTCACGACGCCAAATGCCACGGGGTTGGCGGCAAACGGGGGCAGAAAAAAACGCACAGGATCATACGATCGTGGAAAGGGCGGAACAACGAAACGAAGGAGAAAACTAGCCAGGTACTAGGGAGGGATTCGTCAGGGCGGCCCCGCTCCGACTATTGTTGAAAAAAGAAAAAAAAGAAAAAAAATTAATTAGAAAAAATCTGACAATGAAGGGTTGTGTGTGTGTGTGTATGTGTGTGGAAGAAACCCGCCCAAGAAAAAAGAAAAAAGCATGCACACGAAAACCAAAAAATCCCCCCCCCCCCGGCGCTTTTGAGGGACGTTCACCCCCCCCCTCCTCACCAGCTCGCGGACAGACGCGTAGTAGCCGATCTCCTTCTCCACGTCCACGTGCAAGGAGTTCCCGTGCGCCCGCTCGGCGTGTTCCACCAGGGCCCGGAAGCGTTCCTTGAAGTCGTCGAAGAACCGCAAGTCTCCTATCCTGACGCCGTTGCGGACGATCTTGGACGAGTACGCCGGCCCGATACCCTGTTTTCGTTTTTTCGTGTCGTTTTTCCCAAGGTCAAGACAGAAAAAGGACAAGAAGGATGATTGACGAAAGGGTCATGAGTGATGGATAGATACATAGATGGAGCAGCAAACACTGTCGAGAGGCACTTGTGAGAAAAATGACACGTCTTGAGTTGGCGGGTGGGTTTGCTTTATTCCTGGAAAAAAAGTGGTAGAGTGGACATGAAGGCGTGCCCACAAGACCAACAAAGCGAGAAAACAACGGAACACAAGAAAAACGCAAACACGCTATTGTAAGCGCCCCCTAATGGTGCATTGTATCGAAAACATGTCCAGAAAAGGGAAACAAACAAGAGAAAGTTAGAGCGAGTGTTTAGCTTAGAGTTGTGGCCTTTCAAATCCAGCGTTATGAACGCCACCACTCGTTTTCTTTAACTACACGTTCGAATCGTCTTACGCCTTTCCCGGCAACAGCGAGCTGCATCTGCAACTACACCTCCTGGCAACAGCTATTTAGCTGCATCTGCAACTACACCACCACAAAAAATTGCTAGAAAACGCTTGCTGAAGGCGGGGGTGACGGCCATTGGAGGAACAAACCTTCTTGGTGGTGCCGATCTTGTTGCGGCCTAAGTTTCCCTCCTGAACCCCGTCCACCTGCTGGTGGAAGTCGAAGACGATGTGCGCTCGATCGGAGATCTTGAGGCGGCCCTCAAAGTCGATGCCGGCTTCTTCGAGAGACTGTTCGAACAAACGCGAAGACAAACGTGTTCAACAAGAAAAAAAACATATATAAGGATCCACAAAAGAGAGAGCGAGACACACAGATATATATACACTATATATATACACTCGAGAAAATGAAACAAAACACACAAACCCACACGATGACAGCAACTTCGTCGTGATCCCAGTTGGGAACCGCGCGGTTGGTTCAATAGAAACGTCCTTGAGCATATTGTCCCACGCTGGAGCAGCTCGACTCAGTACTTTTGGTCAACCGATTCGGAAGGCAGTCTAGTCGACACCAACCAAGACAAGAGGTGAACACAAGTTGTATCCTGCTTTCCCCTGCCTTGGACTGAACGTCTCCGCGTCGTTCAACCGGGTAGCGGCCAACGGATCACAAACACACGGTCCCAGATCGATCATGGTCTTCAGAAGCGATGTCGTTCTTGGCCGCATTGAGAGTGACGTAGTTTTGAATGGTCAGCCAGTTAGCCCGGTCGATGCTAACAACAAGCACACACGCAACACACCTCGGTCGTAGGTCTTCGTTTCGAGCAAGGCAGGCTCATGGCTCATGCACGGCGGAACGATGTGGACGAGGACCGACCGGGGCATCGACCACGCCTCGCAAACACAAGTTTACCACCACCACCACCGCCACCACCAAAACCACCAAACGCTAACACAAATGCACCCCCCCCCCATCAAATACAAACATCACCACTACCACCACTAATAGCCCTGCCAACGGCAGGCGCGGCGCCGTACCTTCATCTCCTTAAGGAGCGTGGGGATGTGCACCACCACGCCGTTACCGATCACCCCCATGGTGCCCGGGTGCAGCATGCCGGAGGGCAGGAGGTGGAACTTGAACGTCTTGTCCCCAACCACGATCGTGTGCCCCGCGTTAGAACCCCCGGCAACTCGGGCGCAGATGTTGTAGTTTTGCGACAGGATGTCCACCTTTTGGTTAACACAAAAAGAGATGGTCTGAATTCGGTTCAGAACAAAAATGGGTCTGAAGTATCATGAACACCCCCCCCCCGTTCGGAGGGGATACAGAAGGATAGTGAAGAAAAACGCTCTCCGCAAATAAACCGGTTCCATTATTTTCCAAGTCAGTGGTCTAGAGGGCATGGCATCAACACCCCGCTTGTGTGATCAAAACGGGGGAAGCGCGCGGGGGCGGTGGGGCGGAATGGTATGATGGAATGTGGCAACTGACCGCCCTTGACAGCAGCGTGACGACATGTCTTATTGAAGGGTGCACCAACCATCGTCCTTTCTATTATACCCGCCGGTGTTGTCGATGTACACCGACTGGCTAATTCTGGCGCTCATGTGTAGCAAATCAAGCCGCAGTGCCAATAGGGGTGGTGGCGTACTAATGTAAACGCACGCCGCAACAGTCGTAAGACCATTGACCTCGTGCCCCTACAACAACGCCGGGTATGGAGCGATGATATTCAAGGGACGGGGGGGGGGGGGCGGGGGTCAAAACACTGGCAAAAAAAAAAAGAAGCTCCGCCCTTACCAGCTTCCCCTTGCCTTCGTCGCCCCACTGTGCCCCAAGGACGACGTCGACTACCCCCTCGTGCCCGTGCCCAGGCTTCTTCGGGGAGAGCGTCTGCTTCTCCAGCATATCCTGTTGGTGCATAACGACGAAAACGATGACGACAGCCACACAAGACCGACCAAACGAAAAAAATTGGAACCAACGACGCGAAGCCAACAGCCAGAAAAGAAGGCACTTGTCAACGACGGCGCCACACGATGATGACGGGCGGGAGGAGGAGGAGGAGGAGGAGGAGGAGACAGTGAAGACGCCATGATGGTTGTACATCAAGCAAGGTTGGTTGACATACCGCCGGGACGCGGACATTTTTCAAGCGAGCGCGATGCAGTAGCGGTCCCTGCGCATGTACGCAACGCCGCCGGAAAAAGGACTGCATCAGTCGCCTTGTACAAGGCCGGCGAAATCGCGTGACACGAGGTGTCTCACGTATGGTGCCCGGTGTAAGACATGGGTCAAACCCCTTGCCACTGTGCGGCTTCACACAGGGGCCCACCACCACTGCTGTACAGAGGAAGCAACACATTGACAAGACAAACAGAAGGGCTGAAACTACGGCGGCGGCGGCGGCGTGTACTGCTGTGGCGCGAGTCGAACAGATTTCACCCGACTGGATTGTTCCTCTTGCGTCTCCCCGTGACGACCAAGGGCAGCGACGTAAACCATCCCATAGATCCCATGGTAAACAACCATGGAATACACGCTTCACAGGAAGGAGGAAAAGAAAACTGTCAATGGTATTATAGTGCCAGATCATCAGCACCACTTTAGTACCACCAATCACATAGCAACAGCGGCCAAACGCGCTGACCTCTCGCACACTCTCGGCACCTCTCTCCTTTTCCCACCCCAACAACGTGCGTTTATAAGAATTCCTTGGGGAACAGCCACGCGGCTTGATGACCGTCGCTCTTCGCATCGCCACGGCAATCAACGGAAAACGCTCCCTGACGCTCAAGACATTCCTTCCATTCGAAACAAAACTACACAACACACACTTCTTGTTCACTGACCCCAACGGCCCCTCATTTTGGGGGCAATGTGCTTCGTGTGGGCATGGGAAACTCCGTCTCTTCCCACCATTTAGAAGAGTAGTACAGAATATAACCAAGCTGTCCCACTGTCTTACGGGGGTGGTATGCATGCGAGGTCGGTCTACCGTCGGAACGAGTACGGCAACGAGCGACCACGAGCCCCCCCCCTCGATGTGTTGACCTTACCTCAATGCGTTTCACAGAGTCCTGCAGGTCCGAGATGCGATCCGTATCCACGGGGGTGGTGGAAGAGGCCCCCGACCTCCTCTCGACCCTTAACTCGCTATCGCTCATCATCGCCGACATTTGGATGTGTGGTGGTGCTTGACAAACGAACACTGGACAACGCCAATAGCCGCGAACTCCCGTGTACCACGACTTGATCGAGTGCGCTCCAGGGAAGGGTGTTCGTAAAACCTGAGTGATTGACAGTCCCGCGGGAGAGTTGCCACGACGGTAGGCACGAGGCGGGGGAGGGGGAGTGAACCAACGAGGTGGCGAGGATAATCTACCAACGCAAAAGAATCGTACACTAGAAGATGTGAGTCGAGCGCTTGGGTTTTGTTCTTCTGTGGCCTTTCTCGCTCATCCGCCATCTCATAGATGGATCCGAAAGCAACAGACGGAGAAGTCACGCTTTGTCCTATTCCTGGCCCTCCCCTCCGGCCCAGCAGTTCAGCATTGGATGGGTGCGTTAATTGGCGGAGTAGTAAAACTGCGAAATAACAGCAGCACATATTGATCACAAATTCACAAATTCGCACCGCCTTCTCTCTCTCTGAAGGTTGGGAAGGAAGCAATTCGCTCGTTGGCGTTGACGCAACCGACAGTTCGTCCATGAACATACCGCCGTATTCCACTCATATGTCAAAACATTCGTACAAGTAGCCTCTCACTGCTGTAGTTGTTGTGGGAGCCGTACATTGATTATTATATACATTGATTATTATTTAAGCGTTAACGCTCGCACAGGGCAGACCCGAGACGATACGAGTTGAAACTTGCTACACTGCTTACGTATGCGTACTGCTGTACGGCGGTACTGCTGTAGCCTACAGAAAGAGGGAAGGGAGTCTTGGGACTCCTGTTCAGGCTTTCCACGAGAACGGAACAGTGTGCAAAACGCAAAACAACGACCACTGACGGCGCCCTTGGTTAAACCCAAGCCACCGTCGCGGAGTAACACAGTCAGTAACGCGTAAGATCGCCGTAATTGTACGATGACATCGCGGTCCTCCTACTAGTACATTGAACTGACACGACACACTCGTTTAGCGACCAAAACATAGTTGTTGCCCTTGTTGCCCTTGCCCGTCCATTTGCTTCGCAGGGAGGTGCACATGTTTGTCCCGCGGGGCACACGTCACACACAAACAACAAATATTTACTATCGTCGCGGGACATTGTGATGCAGGGCAAGCCGGCACCCATTCCTAAGAGACCCACGCCCCAGGCGGACAGGAACACTACGTTCGGCACTCCCCCGGGAGCCGAGCGCAAACCAAAAGAGTTGTTCGGAGGACGAGCGAATAAGCGTGAAGTGTCTGTCTGGTCCGGTGCTCAGCTTGCGGCGTCCCACACACATGGCGATAATTGCTGCTGGGTGCCAATACACGCAACAAGCGGCGCCACGACAGGCTGCACGCACTCTCAGGAGATTTTCGCTTTCGATTGGCACCTTTCGCCCCTTGTTGAACTCTCACCTTCGCGAGAGACGAGACGGAGGAGCGATTGCATACGGCGTTTGCTCGACAAACCGCACCTGCTGGAAACGGGGGGCACGCGAAGGGGATGTAGATGCCGATGGTGTACGTACGGCAGGTTTCCACACACGCTTAAATCCCCCGCCGAATGTAACGGCTCTTTCAAAAAATTTTCACCCGACCGAAAAGAACCGACATCAGCGAGCGCCGTTTCCGAGAGAAGAGACTTCTTGTCATCAAACGTCAAACATATCTACAGAACGTCACAAAGTGCACGTCATGCCTGTCACGCATTGCTGTTTTTCTGCTGTTTTTCACCGGTTCGCATTCTTCTGACCTCCGTCCCTACTGTATGTATATACATGTAGAGAGACCGATCCAGGTGACGCGGTCGCCGTGAGGTTCGTCGCGGTTCTTACAAGATTTACCCGTTCGAGATTAACCTTTAGTCGTCGGTTCTTGTTCTTTAGAACCCCAGGGTACGGTTTCATTGATTTGCTCGTTCAACAGCTGTTGCATATGCATGGTACGCGTGTGCGCGTGTGCACATGCGATTGTACGCAACAGCGCATCTTTGTAGAAAGAAACAGTTGCTTCGCACCACCATTAGACTACATTACGAACGGTCCGGACATCATCCATCACTATTAATCGTAAACCTGTGCGCGTGTGTGTCTCCACACCTGTACCAGGTACCAGGTATTTAGCAAGGGACGGCGGCTGTCACGAACGAACGGATCGGCCCCGCCGGCGTCGCCCCTCTGTTTCGCAAGAACGATGGATGGACATACAAGGAATGAGAATGCCGACTCCATCTCAGTAGCATCTGGTGCCGAACGAGGACGCGCAGCATCACCATCACCAACACCACCTGTACAACAAATAGATGATCTGCCACTCCAACGAGCGCTATCGCCCCTCCCTCCGTCCGTGTATGGCGACGAGTGTCCCATCGGGACTTCCAGCTCAGCGACGGCAGCATGTACCAGGATTCGCTTTCTTCCTCGCGAACTACCAGAAGGCGTATACTCGCCATCGGCGGTGTCGGGAGCTACGATGGACACACACGTATTGGATGTTGAATCTCCAAGCGCTACTCTCGAACGGAAGGTGAAATGCGGGTGGTGGACCTACAGTACATACATGTACACGAATCGAATCGAATCGAATCAAACGCGCGAGTGTACGTAGTACTTCGTATAATATGTGTGTGTGAGAGAGAACAAAGACAGAGAGTCAGAGAGGCGACCACAGAGAGAGAGAGAGAGAGAGAGAGAGAGAGAGAGAGAGAGAGAGAGAAGGAAAGGTGGTACCGTGGGCGCGATACCCGTTAGCACACAAACGGAATAAGGCGAGCCTAGAAGACAGTTCTTCTTCTCGAGGTTTGGGCTTCCTTACGCAATATGGCAGGGACATTGGAAACGAAAGGGGAACAAGGGAAGCCAGGCAACGAGGGTTCAGCGACAACCGCAGTACAAAATGCGTCTACTCTCTAGAGGGGTCGTCACCCCTCTGTAGGTTGGTCCTATCAAGGGCCGACGACCGTAATTAACATCATACACACATTGATTCACGCGATAGACGTCCCTCTCAAACAATATGCCGTCTTCGAGCAGAAGCAGGGAGGAGGGATCGTATACTTCCCGCCGGAGAACTTGGCCGAGTACCTGGACGCTAGCCTGGTCACCCCCGTATCGGGGGTGCTTCTTCACCACAGCAGCAGTGCGGCGGCAGTCGCAGGAGGCATCGAACTTTCTTCGACGAGGTGCCACTACTGTAGGTGTGAAAGAACAAGCCAAAACATCGTTGGCCTTCTACACGTACATGCATTTGTCATGGTAGACCAGGTAACTTCCGCGTCACCCCGTGCTGTATGGGCCGTGAGCACCGCTTGCTGGATTTCATGATATACTTTTCTTCGTGCCTGCATGACGGATCTAGCTTAAAGTACCGACTTACAACGTAGGGTTTTCCTTCTTCACCAAGCGATGCCAGCAGGAAGCATCGAGCCTCTGCCAAGAGAAATGGAATGTGTGCAGAGTCACCAGCCCCCGGTCGCCGAAATATTGGAAGGGTCTGAGTGTATCGCTCCGTGTATTCCGTATGCTAGGTGTATGCTGTACAGGCCTGAGACTCCGCAGGTTCACTTCACTACGACAGCAGTGAAATCAAGCGAAATCAACAACTCAATAATGTTGTAGGTTTACGGGGAGAACAAACCGCTACTTTAGCACAAGAGGCTCTCGCGAGGTTCCGGTCTCTGCAAGGATAGCCGTGCCGAAGACTCTTGAACAGCGACTACGGCTTACACTCAATCGACCCAGCCTCCTTTGGACATTTTCCTCTCCAACTCACTCTCTTTCTATCGGAGCTGCGCGCTGTACCACCCCACTGGGAAGACACACTCCACGAAATTTCACACCGATCCACTTGGTGGTGGTGGTGGTGGTGGTGGTTGCCCTTCTCTCCATGCGCAACCCGCAATTAAAATTGTTTACCAGAACATCAACAAGGTAGGTAACATAGGTGCCTTCATTCTCTGCCACTCATTGTGGAGACAAATGGTCAAGACCAAGTTTATTTATCTCACGGCCCGTACCCCTACCCCCTCGCCGCCGCCACTCCTAACCCACTTCACCGTGGACCAGTACGCCTCTCCCGACGAGGAAGTCCTTCCAGAGTCGTCTGTAGGACGAGGACCCAAGACCCACACCCGAACAGGGATGCCCAGCCCCAAGGTAGCCCCCCCCGAGATCCAAGACCTTCTCGTACCACACAGTAGCAGCAGCGTCTTTCGAGGTCGGGCACGATGAACTTCTTGTAAGGATTGCATCGAGCGAAATGTGGTCTCGACACAAGATTTCCCATGCGCTTCAAAGCTACGTACGTTGAGTGTGCGCTTGGTTGTCGACGCCCCCCTGTCCTCTTGCTTCGCAACACAGAACACATGAAGGCTCTACGCTCGCACATCCGGGTCGCTAGAAATCGCGACGTGCGAGGGGAATTTTGTGCTCTCAACGTGCACTTGGCGGTATCCACAAAGAAAAACGTCATGCACGCCGTCCCGCAGCCCGAAAAAACAATAAAGTCACACGGATGAGGGCACCTGAGTCCCCCTTTTTGCGAACCCGCATGAACTTCAAGCACTGGAAGCACTTGAACGCTAGAAAACAGCGGCTCTTCTACATCGTCCTTGTGTCGAGCGTCGTGAACCAGTGTCTACTTGTCATGTCCACGTTTCACCGTCCAGTATCAAGAACAGACGTGATGTTCAAGGAATCCCTGAAGGTTAGCCATATCCGAGCAGTCCCGCCTGCGTTACGCTTTCAGTTCACCCTGGTTTCAAGGATGGCCACCAAAACCACATGCACGTTCCCTCCCCTCCACCACGCTACTTACTGTTCGTCGCTCTCGCATATACTGTGTACCAACAGAGGAGTTCCGATCCGTTGTTCTACACACAGAAAAGGACGAATTTTCCTGCCCTTGACGAAAGTTTGCTGAGGCCCGCCTTAACCCATGTTTTCCTCGCTAACCTCAGGTCGCGCGCTTCTACTGCGCGTATTGCATGAGAAACCAGCCGGGGACCAGCCGCCGCAGGTTCGAGGGCAATGGAGGTTGCAGCCACGAGTTTTGCAAGGTAGGTGGCATCGGGACGGGAGGGGTGGAAGCGCGATGGGCGGAGAGATGCCGAGCTCCACAACATTTTGCTGGCGTAGACGTAGACGTGTCTTGACTTGAGACACCTATCAAACCCTCTAGCTGGCGTCTATTCTCGCGCGTTTCAGTACTGTTCGTGTCTGGATGTTGTGAGTTGTTACATATGTTCACAAACCGAGGCCTTCCTTTCCTCTCTTCTTGAATGTGACGTAAGACCGTAGCGTATCCCCCCCGCCCCTGCCGCCTACCTCCCTCACGGTGCCCCATCCGCCTGAATCCCAGGAGTGCAAAGCAAGCTGAACTATGATGTTTTGGTCTTGTGTTTCCGCTCCATCCTCGTGAACTCAGGCATGTCTGGAAGACTACCTCTTTCAACGCATCATGGTCGGGCACCACTCTCTTCACCCCTGCCCGAAGGTACGTGTCCCCGTGACGTGACGTCAGTTCGATGAAACCAGCCATGAATCCATAGGACGATACTTCGTGCCTGATGTAATTTTCGCTCTGTACAAGCGGCATCCTGGATCGACGTGCTTCTTGTTCTTGTTCTTCGGAACGCACCGCGCCCCCCCCCCCCCCCCTTCACCCCTTCCCTTCTTTTTTAAACCCACCCCTCACCCCCTCCCCTTCGTCCTGGCCTGTTCATACCTACTTAAACATCTCTCCTGTGTTGGTCGTGTTGTTGCCGGCCGGGGGCACACACGTGCAGTTCGGGGAGGAATCCTGCCGCTCATCGGCCACTAGGAACGATGTGCGGCGCATCGTCCGAGCCGAGGTGTACGAGGAGCACCGCAGAAGGCTTGAGGTCAGAGAGAAGCCGTAGGAGACTTGACTCTTAAGGGTGCACGGCGAATTGTTCACGAGGATCCTGAGGTTTAGGGAGATCGAAACGGCTAGCGACGCGTCCAAAATATTTTCGTTCGATTCTCACCTGATTGCCGCATCGACGTAACGAGGACGCTGAAACAACCCAAGAAGTTCATTGCTTTTATGAGGAATAGCAGTGCGAAACACCATCTCTATCATAGATAGGTAGACCACGCAGACCAGGGTACCACGTCCTTCGCGGCCTACGTTGTCTGCGGAGACCCTGATCGCTCAGTCAAACACCAACGCCCCGATACCCTCCAACACAGGGCTTATCTGGAGCCTGCGAGGAATGTGGCCGCCGTGGACGGCGCCCGTCGAGCCCGTCGAGCCCGCACGTGCCGTCCCCTCCGTCCCCCCTCCTCTCCGCTATCTCCCGACGAGCTTCTGCAGCAGCAGCGGATAGTCACGAAGAAGATGCCGGTGCTGGAGCCAACGAAGACAACACGTGTCAGTCATGCGGATCAACGCGAAGGCGCCACCACCACCACCACCACCACCACCACCAAAGCCATCGTCAAAAACGCCACCCCGTCCCTCGCGACGCGGCTACTGCCGGGGCCGCCAGAACGGCGCCCGGTGGGGGCGCCGGCCGGAAAGGGAGGAAAGGGTTCGCTTGGAGCCCGAGGTGGTCGCCACACGGCCGCGCCCCCTCTCTCGACCGTACCGCTACCGGTGGCGACGACGAAAGCGGGCAACGGCGAAACAAGCAGCCGGACAAACGGCAGCAGCAGGAACAGCAGCAGAAGCGAGGGGGGCTATCGCCGGAGGCGGCCGCAGCGTCGGCCGCGGATCCGCCTGAGGTTGACGAGAAAAGCGCAACGGGGGCGGGGGTGGGGGCGGGGGACAAAGAAGCGGAGGGCGCTGCTTCCGCTGCGGGCACACATGCGGCTGGTCTTCGTCACCGAACATGCCCGACGTGCGGTGCCCACAGGCGTCAGAGTCCGCGCGGCAGCAGGGTTAAGGCGCCGGTCGACCCCAACGATGAGGAAATGACAACGGCAACAATGCCGACATCAACGCCCGCAGCAGCGTCGGAGACGGCGACAGCTCGTCGGCGCCGGGGCTCGGACATGACCGACAACCTTGTCCTTTGTCTTGGTTGCGGTGAAGCTTGGTGCCTGCTGTGCGGGGGTCCCGTTTCCACCGCTGAGACCGCCGCTGACGGGGTTTCCAGCGGCGGCGGTGGCCGCGGCGGCGGCGGCGGCGGCGGCTACCGCAGGACAAGAACCGATCCGAAGGAGGGTCGAGGGTGCGACGGACAAGGGGAGAGGGAGCGAGGCACTGGGTACGCAGTATCGACGGGCGGGGTCGTTCCTCGCGGACATGTGCGACACTTTAGTCGCTGGAACGTCGCAGGGTGTCCGGGCGCCCGCTACACGGACCCGATGGTGGGTGCGGTTGTGTCGTGTGTTATTGTCGCGTGTTTGTCCGGCGTGGACAAACAACAAAAAAGTTGGTAGTGACTTAAGGCGATGCGCAAACGTGTGCCTTTCCAGAACCAGACTTCCGACTATATGCAGTCAATAGCTTGGTGCTATGCAGTCAACAGTCGTTCCTTCCGGGTCTCAGGTACCAGTCTGCCTAGTGCAGCATTGTCAGACGGGCCGGTGTTCGGTCTGGCCGCACCAGTCCCTCTTGCTCTTGCGACAACCTCTTGCTTGCGGTAAGCGATGTCCTCTCCGGTCGGGCCTGCGTCCCCTCGGGCAGGGATGGAAAGGGGAGTTTATCACCCTCTACCGAGCGCTGGTGGCCATCCTAGTGTTCTTGGTGGGACCGCTCTTCTTCTTTCTACGCGGCGTGTGCTTGCTTGTCGAAACCCTTCTCGCCCCCCTGTGCTGCGGCGCCTTTGGCGGCGCGTCCAGGTGAGCAGATCGGTTCGGTGATCCATTTCGGACCGTTTAGGTTTAAGGTGCGGATCAGGGGTGCACGGTATGGATCTTGCGTTCGCTCTGAACACTTCAAGACTGCCCGTGGAAACCCCTGAAGGAGGTTGGGACACACTTCTCGTACATAAGGTTTTCCCTCGACCTTACTCAACGGCGACAAAACACACACCAAACACCGTATGCCCCCCCCCTCCTCCGCCCTCCCCTCCGCAATGGACATTGGATAATCGGCGACGAACGACGAACTCGCGGGCATTACACCGACGTACCTGTTCGGGAATACAGAAAACGAAGATCGGTGCCGGGTATCTTCTGCTTTCCTTTGGCCGTCGCTCTCTCCGCGGTTCTCATGGCCGCGTGGCTCCCCCTTGGTCTCGTGGCTGCCGCCGCTCGCTGGCTGTGGACCGCGGCGGCTTTCGGAAGGCCGCAGGCCGACGAAGATGGTGATAGTGGCGGTAGTGGCGGGCAACTTGATAGCGATGTGCCGGCGCTGAGGCAACCGGAAAATTTTCCAGCTTCAAGGAAGAAGAGACGGACTACGGAGGGGGCCAAAGCTTGCAGGACTCTTGCGTTCGCGCCGGCCGTGATGCTTTCCAGCTACCTAGCCTCCTGGTGGCGGGAGGGTGGCGACGGCGGAAGAGGGCGAGGAGGAGTCAGCCACGACGACGGTGGCGTTGACGACATCAACAACAGTTGTCCGGAAGATAAGCTTTCCACAAAACTATGTCAGAAGGAGGACCTGCCGAATGAAAGATCCGAGAAAGCGCGTGAGCTGCTGGTAGTAGCGGCGGAGGAGGGTGCGGGGAATGGCGAACTAGAGACCCGGCCGTTGTCGGTTTCACCCGTTAGACCATAGTCGGTCCCGTCTCCTGCATTGGTGCTGACGTACCGAGGCATCGACTAGTCGCCCTGTGCGCCGGATCTCCTTGGTTGAGGTGGCCGTGACCACTAACGTACGTGAGGAAATATCATGTCTCGGCTAATGGACTTCTCAAGGGTCTCAAGGGTCGACGTGAACATCCGGGCGGGTCTGCCGATGAAGCGCGTCCACTCTGTCTGGAGTAAAACTGCACATCGCGGATGGCGTTGGCAGGGGCTTCGGGGGTCGGGACAGAACTAAACGGAACGCCCGGGTCGCCTTGTGCAATGATCGTCGTTGCCGGTGGACACGATGGTTGTGGGTGTGGTGGTGGTGGTGGTGGTGTGTCAGCGGTTAGCGCAAGTGAAAATAAAAGAGGCTAAGCCGCCCCGTTCCCCAATCTATCCCGGATGCAAATGACCATGCTTCCCAGTTTATCAGAGGCGCACGGTGGTTGCGGATCTCGTTAAAGTTTCCTCGACGGCTGTTGCTGCCCTCGGCCATGGGCCCTTGCGTACGAGTTTTGCGCCACAGAGGGCGGGAGTTGGGGTGGGGTTGACTAGGGTGGCCCAAATGGGTGCGTGTGTTTCAGAATGCACGACGAGCTCGTGTGACAGCTATATTTTTTTCAGCGTGTGTGTGTGTGGGGGGGGGTTCCATGGTGTTCGAAATCAGACACACCCTCACAGATATGGTTCGCGGATCACCTGGAAGAGAGTGAATGGGGAGCTATACGTGGCATCGGCGGCGGCATCTTTTTGCTTGAGAAACAGGATTGATGGAAAAAAACCACCCGCCGCCAGATGGAGTTGTGGATATCCACTTTTCCCGGTCGAACGGTGAAGGAAGACGGCCTAACAAGCGTCCGCGTTTTTTCCCACTCTCGTAGGTCGTTCTTCTTAGAAGAAGCAAGCAAGAGAGAGACCCGCCCGCTGCTTACAACGTATATTCTCACGATATGTGCGTGCCCTTGTTTTCCCTCACATGCGCAATTTTGAAATGTCCTAGACACACGGCCCGAATCGAGATGGAGTAAATCGAAGGATAGACGAAGGACCTCTTCCATGCAACATGACGATTCCGATGTCCCAGAGAAACTTCGCAGCACCTCAAGACTGCTGTCAAGGTGTGCCAAACAAAGAGAGACGCGAGAGAGCAGCTGGCAGAACCAGAGCACTTCCGCCAGTGGGTTGCGGACGAACAAGTGGTTGACAAACCCGCGTCGTGACCGTCTTCTTGTTGCCCTGTCAACCCAACCAAACATGCACAATCGTAGACACATGGCGAGCTACAGACGACGTAAAACGCCGGCAGCGTGCCCTACCCGTTTGCGCTTTTTGCTTGTTCCAAGGCAGAAGCACAATCAGGGAGCGGGCCGAGATCCAAGGCATGGTGGCCTTTACCCGATAAAAAAAAAGTTGAATAACTGATGTCGGGGGGCAGCAAAGCCCATATTTACCGCGCCGAAACGCCTCTTGTCAATATATCGCTCCGCAGAACTATGAGGCAAAGGCAAAATTCGAGGCGGGAGGTCTCCCTCTATTTCCCGTGCTTGCCATACCCCTTCCGCTCAACCCCCCGCCTCCTCCGCCTTTGCCAAACGGGCGTCAAGAGAATTCTGGGCTTTGCGAACACAGCCTGCGACAGGAGAAGAACCACAAGACTTACATTCAGCCCCACTGCGGGGCACGGCACGCGGTCAAAAACAACGCTCCTCGCAATTCCAACACAAACGAAAGAGGAGAAACCGCTGTACGAGGTAACTCTGTCTAAGCTCGTTACACTTCGTAGCGCGCCACTCTTTAGTCCATCGCTACAGCAAGTGCGCGTTTGATTGGTGCTCCTCCTTAGCCCGAACCTCAGGGTCGACGGCCGCCCCTCCATCAGCTCCTTCACTTCGGTTTGATGCAAATCAGCTACAAAATCATGAGAACCATAACGGTACTGGTCGCAAGAGAGCGCCTTGCCGCCCAACGCAGGAGTGCCCGTCATATTTTCCGCCCATTCCGCACTATCATGACGATCACGCTTCGCAGGCCGTGCACTGCTACATCAGCCATTGGCAACAAAACTAGGAGGATGATATATCTTGTCCTATTTAAAAAGTTTACCCAGCTCCCCCCCCCATCCCCTCTCCTCACCCAACCCAATGCAAGGTGAGCTGGCTGGAAAATTCCGCGGAGGTTTAGGCTATCATCGTTTCTCGCGCAAAAAAACACGAACAGACGAGCGAGACCAAAAACGACACCAACACTCCAAAACTAGAAGTTGGAGAGTACTCGGCCATCCAGCACGCCGGCCTTTTCGGCAATCTCCTTCACTTCTTCCGCCATCTCCTTGTGCCCGCATACGAGCACCGCGCTGTTGCGCGGCAGGGGGATGCCTTCCTCCTTGATGGCCTGCTGCACGAAACCCGTTCGGCCGGTCCAGGACTCGCCTGTTGTTGGTGCGGATAACGGTAAGAGTGGGGGGGGGGGGCACACGTCACACGAGGGGACACGTACTAGTACATCGCGGGCAAGGGATCTTGAAAAAAGGAGTCCAGTCTGTGTGACAATCTGTGTGACCCCGGGTGGGGTATTACGCCCAAAGGCGTACCCAAGAGTGTAAATCCCATGCGTCCAAAATAGAAGGGGGCACGACCATTGGATGAGGGGGGTTGGTGGGGGTGAGTTGAGCGAGGCACCGTTGGGGTAGAAAGAACATGTGGTGGGACCGGTTGGCTAACTAGGGTGTCATCGGGGTGCCGCGGTGGGGTACGTTCTGCGTGGTGAGGGTGGGTGGGGTTTGGTTTCGATTCGGCGGTACGTTTTCTGTTTCTACAGCTGTACTTGCACGGGGGGGGGAGACGTGGGTGCGGTGAGGTCGGGATGGGGGGGGGGGGGGGCTTATTGATGCCATCGTCAAGCTCGGTGGCGGGCTCGCCCATGACCGAGCAGTCCGGACCCAACCGAAAGAGA